TCGGTCAAGTGGACGCCAGTGGCCAATGGAAACAGTATGGAAACAGTACTGCACCCAATTGTTCAGTGGACATCCTTGCTAAGCAAACGGTCAAACAAGTTCTATGAAGACCATTGAAGACCTATTATTGCCAATGAGGCTGTGAATTTGAGAATGACGAGAGCATAATTTGATATAATTTGTAAGCACATCCACTTGCAACGGGAAAGGAAAATTGCATTTGCATTCTGTGACGAAGAAGAAATGCATGCTTCGCTGGGGCCAACGGGCAGTCGCAGTCTATTAACCCGTGTCCTCAATGGGAGCATGCTCTGGGGCAGCGTCCTATAATCAACAAATTCACAAGCGGATGCTGAAGAAACACAGCATCGGTCATCTATCCAATACCAAGGACAATATGGAAGCCACTTGAAGAGATAGTTTGAGGCAGAAATCCGTGTCTTAAGAAAAAGTAACAAATTTAATCCTCAGACTGCACTGCGCTACACAGGCATTGTGCTGATTTGATAACCTGTGATAAGGCATCAAAGCATAAAGGCATGTATACAGGTGCGGTCATCTTAGGTCGCCAGGATCTGTTGACAAAGGTAGCTCTGCAAATCCATGCGAAGTATGCAAACGCCCTTGGAAAGATTTGGAAAGCATGCCAACCAGCGAGTCCTCTCGCATCTTTTCCTCCTTCTCTTCTCGCATCTTTTCCTCTTTTTCCTCTCGCATCTTTTCCTCAGGCACGTCTTCTTCCTCCTCCTCCTCATCCTCTTCGTCCTCTTCGTTCTCCGGCTCCTACTTTCAAATACATGGCTGCGGCAGCTTAAATGATTCGCATATTTTCACAGAACATATCTTTTATGAGAAATGTTTGCAGAACAGAAGGTCCGCGGTCCATTCAGCAAGTTGCATCCTTACAAACGAAATGCTATTGTGGAGCCCGCAAAAACCAAACCAGTCAGGGCTGACAGTTTTGCACCACGTGCATCCACTTGAACCGGAACAGGAGCATTTGCTCTCGAACCACAAAAAAATATCAGAAAAGCGGTAAAAAACATTCTTCGCTGTAGCCATCCGTGGCTATGCAACCCTTGTCCTCAATGGGAGCATGCTCTGGGGCAGCCTCCTGTAATCAACAGATTCACAGCGGATGCTGGAAAGACACAGAATGGGGCATCTATCAGCAAAGGGCAAAGACCTGGAATTATAGTGATCAGGGTATCCAAACATCTTGTGATTGACAGCTGTTGGTTCAACATAACAAACCCATATCAAGTGACATCACGGAACCAGCTTGGAGAGTTCTCTGCGACAGGAATCCATGTTGGAAGATTGATAAAATATCAACAGGCACGACTGCGGCATCCAGGTTTAGCAGCTTTGCTCTCTTAACTTTTATTTGTTCGCTTTATACCCCAAACATCTCCAATGAAGTAATTGGCAAGCATGCCAGTGCAATCAGTCCTCTCGCATCTTTTGCTCCTTGTCTGCTCCCATCTTTTCCTCCTTTTTTTGTTGCATCTTTTCTTCTGGCACGTCTTCTTCCTCCTCCTCCTCATCCTCTTCGTCCTCTTCGTCCTCCTGCTCCTACTTTCAAATTTTAATGGCAGCAGCAGCTTAAATGTTCGCAGATTTTCACAGAACATATCTTTTATCAGAACCCTTTGCAGAACACGAGATCTGGGATCCATTCAGCAAATTGCATCGTTGCCAACAAAAAGCTATGGGGCTATGGTGGAAACTGAGAGACTCAAAAGCAGTCAGCGCTAGGAGTGCTGGCACACGTGCATCCACTTGCACCGGAACAGTAGCATTCTGATTGCACTTGAATCACAGAAAAAATCACAAAAGATCCGAAAAACAAGTAAACAAATACATGTTTCGCTGTAGCCATCCGTGGCCCAACTGGCAGTCGCAGTCTATTCAACCCGTCTCCTCGATGGGAGCATGATCTGGGGCAGCGTCCTGTAATCAACAGATTCACAGGCGGATGCTGGAAAGACATAGCATGCAGCATGGGGCATCTATCAGCAAATACCTGGCATATCCTGGCATAATAACGATGAGGATATCCAAACATAATTATGGTTGATAAATATCAACAAGCTCGACTACGGCATACAGGCTCAGCGGCTTAGCTCTAATTTGCTTATTTTATACCCCAAAGATCTCCAATGTATGCAGTAGTAATTGGCAACCACGGCAATGCGATTAGTCCTCTGGCATCTCTTCCTCCTTCTCTGCTCCCATTGTTTCATCCTCTTGTTGCATCTTTTCCTCAGGAACATCTTCTGCCTCCTCATTCTCTGCGTCCTGTTCAAAAACATGGCTGTGGGAGCTTAAATCGCTTGGAAATTTTCACAGAATAAACATATCTCGAATCAGAAGCCTTCGCAGAACACGAGCACATTGCATCCAATAGCCATGGTGCACAAATACCAAACCAGTTTGGGCTGATAGTGCTGGCACACGTGCATCCACTTTCACCGGGACAGTAACATTATGATTGCACTTGAATCACAGAAAAGATCACGAAAGAGCAGTTAAAAATTGCAGGTTTCGCTGTAGCCATCTGTGGCCAACTGGCAGTCGCAGTCTATTCAACCCGTGTCCTCGATGGGAGCATGCTCTGGGGCAGCCTCCTGTAATGAACAGATTCACAGGCGGATGCTGGAAAGACATAGCATGCAGCATGGGGCATCTATCAGCAAATACCTATCCATACTGGAAGATTGATAAAATATCAACCGGCTCGACTACAGCATACAGGCTCAGCGGTTTAGCTCTAATTTGCTCATTTTATACTCCAAAGATCTCCAATGTATGTAGTAGTAATTGGCAACCACGGCAATGCGATTAGTCCTCTGGCATCTCTTCCTCCTTCTCTGCTCCCATTGTTTCATCCTCTTGTTGCACCTTTTCCTCAGGCACATCTTCTGCCTCCTCATTCTCTTCGTCCTCCTCGTGCTTCTCGTCCTCCCGCTACTTTCAAATACATGGCTGTGGGAGCTTAAATCGCTTGGAGATTTTCACAGAATAAACATATCTCAAATCAGAAGCCTTCGCAGAACACGAGCACATTGCATCCAATAGCCATGGTGCGCAAATACCAAACCAGTTTTGGCTGACAGTGCTGGCACACGTGCATCCACTTGCACCGAGACAGTAACATTATGATTGCACTTGAATCACAGAAAAGATCACGAAAGAGCAGAAAAACAATTAAAAATTGACTAAAAAAATTGCAGGTTTCGCTGTAGCCATCTGTGGCCAACTGGCAGTCGCAGTCTATTCAACCCGTGTCCTCGATGGGAGCATGCTCTGGGGCAGCCTCCTGTAATCAACAGATTCACAGGCGGATGCTGGAAAGACATAGCATGCAGCATGGGGCATCTATCAGCAAATACCTATCCATACTGGAAGATTGATAAAATATCAACCGGCTCGACTACAGCATACAGGCTTAGCGGTTTAGCTCTAATTTGCTCACTTTTTACTCCAAAGATCTCCAATGTATTTAGTAGTAATTGGCAACCACGGCAATGCGATTAGTCCTCTGGCATCTCTTCCTCCTTCTCTGCTCCCATTGTTTCATCCTCTTGTTGCATCTTTTCCTCAAAGGCACCATTTCTGCCTCCTCATTCTCTTCGTCCTCTCGTGACTCTCGTCCTCCTGTACTTTCAAATACATGGAGGAGGCTTAAATGGTTAGCAGATTTTCACAGAAACATATCTCAAGAAAAACCTTTTGCCGAGCACGAGATCTGGGTCATTCAGCCAAGTTACATCCCAGCCATCCAATACCAACAAAAAGCTGTGGGGACACAAAAGCCAAGCCCAGTCGGGGCTGACACTGCTGCACCACCAGCATCCACTTGCAAAGGAACAGAACATTACAGTGCACTCAACCAAAGAAAAAACGGAAAGCATAGAAAAACATGGAAAAACCGTGTTTCGCCAAGCTTTCTATTCAACCCGTGTCCTCGATGGGAGCATGCTCTGGGGCAGCCTCCTGTAATGAACAGATTCACAGGCGGATGCTGGAAAGACATAGCATGCAGCATGGGGCATCTATCAGCAAATACCTATCCATACTGGAAGATTGATAAAATATCAACCGGCTCGACTACAGCATACAGGCTTAGCGGTTTAGCTCTAATTTGCTCACTTTTTACTCCAAAGATCTCCAATGTATTTAGTAGTAATTGGCAACCACGGCAATGCGATTAGTCCTCTGGCATCTCTTCCTCCTTCTCTGCTCCCATTGTTTCATCCTCTTGTTGCATCTTTTCCTCAGGCACATCTTCTGCCTCCTCATTCTCTTCGTCCTCCTCGTGCTTCTCGTCCTCCTGCTACTTTCAAATACATGGCGGAGGCTTAAATGGTTCGCAGATTTTCACAGAACATATCTCAAGAAACCTTTGCAGAGCACGAGATCTGGGATCCATTCAGCAAGTTACATCCAATCCATCCATACCAACAAAAAGCTATATAAGCTGTGGTGGACACAAAAGCCAAGCCAGTCGGGGCTGACACTGCTGCACCACCAGCATCCACTTGCAAAGGAACAGGAACATTACATTTGCACTCGAACCAAAGGAAAAAACGAAAAGCATAGAAAAGCCGCGTTTCGCCATAGCAGTCTAGTCAACCCGTGTCCTCGATGGGAGCATGCTCTGGGACAGCGTCCTGTGATCAACAGGTTCACAAGCGGATGCTGGAAAGACACAGCATGGGGCATCTATCAGCAAATACCTAGCATATCCTGGCATGGTAATGATGAGTATATCCAAATATGGTTGATCATCATGTTCTCAAGGAAATTGCCGTCTTGGGGCATCACCGATAACCCATATATATATATATCAAGTGACATCCAGGAAGCAGCTTGGCGACAGGAAACCATACTGGAAGATTGATAAAATATCAACCGGCTCGACTACAGCATACAGGCTCAGCGGCTTAGCTCTAATTTGCTTCTTTCATACTTCAGAAATCTCCAATGTGTGTAGTAGTAATTGGCAACCACGGCAATGCGATTAGTCCTCTGGCATCTCTTCCTCCTTCTCTGCTCCCATTGTTTCATCCTCTTGTTGCATCTTTTCCTCAGGCACATCTTCTGCCTCCTCATTCTCTTCGTCCTCCTCGTGCTTCTCGTCCTCCTGCTACTTTCAAATACATGGCGGAGGCTTAAATGGTTCGCAGATTTTCACAGAACATATCTCAAGAAACCTTTGCAGAGCACGAGATCTGGGATCCATTCAGCAAGTTACATCCAATCCATCCATACCAACAAAAAGCTATATAAGCTATGGTGGACACAAAAGCCAAGCCAGTCGGGGCTGACACTGCTGCACCACCAGCATCCACTTGCAAAGGAACAGGAACATTACATTTGCACTTAAACCAAAGAGAAAACAGAAAAGCATAGAAAAACATAGAAAAACCGTGTTTCGCCATAGTTTTCTATTCAACCCGTGTCCTCGATGGGAGCATGCTCTGGGGCAGCCTCCTGTAATCAACAGATTCACAGGCGGATGCTGGAAAGACATAGCATGCAGCATGGGGCATCTATCAGCAAATACCTATCCATATTGGAAGACTGATAAAATATCAACAGGCTCGACTACAGCATACAGGCTTAGCGGTTTAGCTCTAATTTGCTCACTTTATACTCCAAAGATCTCCAATGTATTTAGTAGTAGTTGGCAACCACGGCAATGCGATTAGTCCTCTGGCATCTCTTCCTCCTTCTCTGCTCCCATTGTTTCATCCTCTTGTTGCATCTTTTCCTCAGGCACATCTTCTGCCTCCTCATTCTCTTCGTCCTCCTCGTGCTTCTCGTCCTCCTGCTACTTTCAAATACATGGCGGAGGCTTAAATGGTTCGCAGATTTTCACAGAACATATCTCAAGAAACCTTTGCAAAGCACGAGATCTGGGATCCATTCAGCAAGTTACATCCAATCCATCCATACCAACAAAAAGCTGTGGTGGACACAAAAGCCAAGCCAGTCGGGGCTGACACTGCTGCACCACCAGCATCCACTTGCAAAGGAACAGGAACATTACATTTGCACTTAAACCAAAGAAAAAACAGGAAAGCATAGAAAAACATGGAAAAACCGTGTTTCGCCATAGCTTTCTATTCAACCCGTGTCCTCGATGGGAGCATGCTCTGGGGCAGCCTCCTGTAATCAACAGATTCACAGGCGGATGCTGGAAAGACACAGCATGCAGCATGGGGCATCTATCAGCAAATACCTATCGATAAATATCAACAGGCTCGACTACAGCATACAGGCTCAGCGGTTTAGCTCTAATTTGCTTCTTTCATACTTCAGAAATCTCCAATGTGTGTAGTAGTAATTGGCAACCATGGCAATGCGATTAGTCCTCTGGCATCTCTTCCTCCTTCTCTGCTCCCATTGTTTCATCCTCTTGTTGCATCTTTTCCTCAGGCACATCTTCTGCCTCCTCATTCTCTTCGTCCTTCTCGTGCTTCTCGTCCTCCTGCTACTTTCAAGTACATGGCTGCGGATGCTTAAATGGTTCCCAGATTTTCACAGAACACCTGAGAAGGGGGGACAAACGAAAGCCAGCATCCCATCTATCCCTATGTTCCCCAATATTTTTCACCCAGAGACTCTTCACCCAGAAACCCTTCTTGCACATACTTTTCACCCATATACTTTTCACCCAGAGACTCTTCACCCAGAAACTCTTATTGCACAGACTTTTCACCCAGAAACTTTTCACCCAGAAACTCTTCTTACAAATACTTTTCACCCACATATTTTCACCCATAGACTCTTCACCAAGAAACTCTTCTTGCACATACTTTTCACCCATTCACCCAAAAACTCTTCACCCAGAAACCCTTCTTGCACATACTTTTCACCCATATACTTTTCACCCAGAAACTCTTCACCCAGAAACTTTCTTGCACATACTTTTCACCCATATACTTTTCACCCAGAGACTCTTCACCCAGAAACTCTTATTACACATACTTTTCACCCATATACTTTTCACCCAGAGACTCTTCACCCAGAAACTCTTCTTGCAAAGACATTTCACCCATATACTCTTCACCCAGAGACTCTTCACCCAGAAACTCTTCTTGCACAAACATTTCAACCATATACTTTTCACCCAGAGACTCTTCTTGCACATACTTTTCAACCATATACTTTTCCCCCAGAGACTCTTCACCCAGAAACTCTTATTGCACATACTTTTCACCCATATACTTTTCACCCAGAGACTCTTCACCCAGAAACTCTTCTTGCACATACTTTTCACCCATATACTTTTAACCCAGAGACTCTTCACCCAGAAACTCTTCTTGCACAGACACCCATATACTTTTCACCCAGAGACTCTTCGCCCAGAAACTCTTCTTGCACATACTTTTCACCCTTTTCATCCAGAGACTCTTCACCCAGAAACTCTTCTTGCACATACTTTTCACCCATATACTTTTCACCCAGACTCTTCACCCAGAAACTCTTCTTGCACATACTTTTCACCCATATACTTTTCACCCAGAGACTCTTCACCCAGAAACTCTTCTTGCACATACTTTTCACCCATATACTTTTCACCCAGATCTTCACCCAGAAACTCTTCTCGCACATACTTTTCACCCATATACTTTTCACCCAGAGACTCTTCACCCAGAAACTCTTCTTGCACATACTTTTCACCAATATACTTTTCACCCGGAGACTCTTCACCTAGAAACTTTTCTTGCACATATTTTTCACCCATATACTTTCACCCAGAAACTTTTCTTGCACATACTTTTCACCCATATACTTTTCACCCAGAGACTCTTCACCCAGAAACTCTTCTTGCACATACATTTCACCCATATACTTTTCACCCAGAGACTCTTCACCCAGAAACTCTTCTTGCACATACTTTTCACCCATAAACTTTTCACCCACAGACTCTTCACCCAGAAACTCTTCTTGCACAGACTTTTCACCCATATACTTTTCACCCAGAGACTCTTCGCCCAGAAACTCTTCTTGCACATACTTTTCAACCATATACTTTTCACCCAGAGACTCTTCACCCAGAAACCCTGCTTGCACATACTTTTCACCCATATATTTTTCAACCAGAGACTCTTCACCCAGAAACTCTTTTTGCACAGATTTTTCACCCAGAGACTCTTCACCCAGAAACTCTTCTTGCACATGCTTTTCACCCATATACTTTTCACCTAGAAACTCTTCTAGCATATACTGTTCACTCATATACTTTTCACCCCGAGACTCTTCACCCATAAACTCTTCTTGCACATATGTTTCATCCATATACTTTTCACCCAGAGACTCTTCACCCAGAAACTCTTCTTGCACATACTTTTTACCAATATACTTTTCACCCAGAGACTCTTCACCCAGAAACTCTTCATGCACATACTTTTCACCCATATACTTTTCATACGGAGACTCTTCACCCAGAAACTCTTCTTGTACATAGTTTCACCCAGAGACTCTTCACCCAGAAACTCTTCTTGCACAGACTCTTCACCCAGAGACTCTTTACCCAGAAACTCTTCTTGCACATACTTTTCACCCATATTCTTTCCACCCC